AAAAGGCGCATATTAGAGCTAAACGCTCTCTCGGTGAAAAAAACATCTGTCTACTGAAAGCTCTGTGTCTTCTAAATAAAAATCAACGCGCTGCTTTTCTGCGAAACGCTGATAACAAATTCATCGCGTGTATTCGCGAGTGTGTCCACAATACTCAGAAGTAACGTACTGCTCGAAAAAAGAGAGAAGAACCGCTTAATCCAATACAAAACGGCGCTGCGACGTATCGCGTCGCTAACGAAGAGGTACTTGGAGGTGCAAGAGAAACCTGCTGGTGCAACAAAGAGGCTTTTTACCGTACTCACAGCTTTATTATTTCGAATTATCGAGTAAACATAAAACGGGCTAAAAAAATGGTGCTGATTTCCACGGATAATCTCTAAAGAATGCAACAACGAATGGCGGGGGAAAATACCACTGCTAATACCACACGCACTCCCAAAACCGTGCTCTCGCGTCTCGACGCGGAGATGAGACGTATTCTCGATTCCTCTGTTGATGAAGGTGAAAAATGGAAATTGTACAGCAAAGTACTTCGTCGATATCTGTATTTTATCCGAAAAGCGAGAAAGCGTTTTCGCAAAGAAGAAGATCCATCCGTGGCGGAAACAACTGCTGTGACTGGTGAAGAAAGGGAAGAGGAAGAGGAGGACGACGAGGAAATGAGAGTACTATTTTACGACGCAGAAGAACCAATGGACGCTTTTCCTCAAACATCCTCTGTTTTACCAAAACATTATTCAACACCATTACAACACAATAATAATAATAGTCAATATCAACGGATTAATCAGTCAACTCCGAAGAAAAATGTATCGTTTGCAGATATTATATTTAACAACAGCAGCAGCGCAACGAGCTCTCGCAAACGAAAAACTATAACAAACATAATAGAAACAATTCCAAAAACTTACCGCTCCAAAGCGCGAATGCTTTTGAATCATCTGATCGAAACGGCTGTTCCCGTCACGATCACATGGAACGAACGCGGCATCGTGACCAAGAGTCCAGAATTGGTGGGAGCAAATATTGTGGAACTCATAAACGATGCGATGCGAAAAAGAAAAACCACTGGAATACTGGGGGCCATTCATTTCGCTCATTTACTTCTCGACATAAACACGCCTCCTCAATACGTGGGAAATCCTAAATATTTACGCTTTTTGCGAAAAAGAGAAAAAAGAACAAAGCGCAAATCTCCGCATAGTATTGAACAAGAAGAAGAAG